GCTATTGGTTTCTCTGGCCTCATAAAGTTGTTTCTTACCTTTGTGAACTGCAGGCATCATGAGCTGTGCAAGTCTGAGATCCCCTGGAAGAAAGGAGAGATGAAGCATCTGTAAGGATGTCTGTCACCAACACTCAGTGCTCTCTGTGCAACTCTCAGCCATGCCTGAGATTTTGAGAATGAGCTACAGAAGTTCTGATATAATCTGGAAGGTGAATATTTCCTTACTCACACAGGGAATCTAGTCACCAGCCCTAACAACCTTGAGAGAAAAAAACATGTTGATGAGAAATAGACATTTCTCCCACAAGATCACAGACTCAGCTTTATCCTAGACTGAATTCTTATACAGAACTAACTAAGTCCCTTGTTGGCTTAATTAATTTGACATTTGATTCTTGGTAGAAAGCTACTTGATATAGATATAAATAATTTGCATTGGTATAAATCTTGATTTATTGATATAAATTTAAGGTCAATTTTGTTATATTTATATGTATTTCTGACCTTGATTAAGATATTCTGATTGTGTAGTTCATTTAAAAATGTAATGTACAATTAAAAAATATACTTTGTTAATGGATAATCATCAATAATAGTAAGCTTGTAGTCATGTTAGATTTTCTAGATATACAGAGATATATTTGAATTAGATAGGCATTCTTCATATCTTTCAAAGACTACAGAATATGGCATTTAAAATGTTTTAATAACTTAGGGCTTTTCATGACAATGAGACACATCTGCTCCTGGCAGCACCAATCTACTTGATTATGATAGACAAGTGTACACAACAGGGAAAATATTGAGAAAGGTAAGCCAGGCCCAGAAAGAAAACCACCACATCTCTCACATGCAGTTTCTACCCTGGAGTCTTTAGTTCTGTGGGTTTAACTTGGTGAACCCCTGGAAACCAGAAAACTAGAAATATGCAGGGCCTCGGGGAGGAAAGGAATACAGTAGTGTACTGGTAAAATGAGGGTAGAGAGGGAATACTGGGGACAGAGATGTTCAAACAGCAAGAGGGGTTGGAGTGGGGGTGATGAGTAAGTCAGTGGGATGGATTCCAGAAAATGAAGGCAGTATTTAAAAGTCACAATGAAACTTATTAATTGGTAACCCAATATAAAAATCATAAAGGAGTTAGAATGGAAGACACCCTATAAGGCTTTAAATTGGAAGTCTGAGAAGTAATGTGTTTCAAAACAAAAAACCCAGTTCCAGTTGTGGGATATCTTCATAGGAGCTTTTGGTCAGGGAGGCCATGCAGGTCTCCAAGACAATATAGGTATACTCATTCTTCTCTGTTCCCCATCAGAACCAGCAAAGAAGACATTGTTGCTGAAGACACCACACATCTTGGGTATGTGGTATAGAGAATTCAAGCTGGAACTGAGTTGGAAGCTTTCTTTTGATGCCAAACTTTCATAGTGCTAAATGGTGTTATGCAGGCTGCTGAGAAGGAAAAGACATCAGCTGACCCGTCCAGCAGGCCACATAATTCGTGGGCCTCGAGTTCGGGATCACCTGGGTAGGAATGGGGGGAAAGAGAAAGGGAACCAAGCGCGTATAAAGAACGACAGAGTTAGTCTAAGATGCGTCTAGGTTCCGTTTAGTGCAGGCAGGGGTTTATTCTTATAGAGAGGTTTTGGTAGGGAGGGTAGGGTTAGAGGGGAAAGGAAACTATCGCGCCCTAGGCCAGGGAGGAAGCAATATATCTCTTGAAGCATCTTGTGGTTAGGCCGTGTTTTGGAACACCTTGTGGTCAGGTCGTTCTGAGAACTGTATCACAGCTGTTTTTGCAGCAAGCTGTTTTTGCAGAGAGGATGAGGAAGATTGGCCAGTACTTTAGGTGGGGGGGCTTCTTGGTCCCCAACAATCAGCAACCTTCCTGCCAGGCCAGATGGTCCTTTTGCTGTAGTAGTGCCACAAGTGTGACGGGAGCAACCATTAGCTACCTTATTACATTTCAGGCCCAATCACAAGATAGAATCCATCCCCACAATAGAAAGTTAGTAGGACAAACAAAACCAGGTCTTCCTAAATCTTAGTCCCTTGAGAGAAGCTACGGACATACCTGACGTGGGATTCTCCTCTGTATGCTGTGAATACCACTGGTTAATGAAGAAGCTGTTTTGGGCTTGTGATAGGGTAGAGCAGAGCTAGGCAGGGAAAACTAAACTAAATGCTGGGAGAAAGAAGGCAGATTCAAGAGAAGCCATGTAGCCCCGCTGGAGACAAAGGCTGGAATTTTACCCAGTAAGCCACAGCCTCATGGGAAACACAGTTTAATGGAGATGGGTTAAATTAATATGTAAGAGCTGGGAAAAAAAGAAGCTAGAGCTAATAGGCCAAGAAGTGTTTTAATTAATACAGTTTCTGTGTGGTTATTTCAGGTCTCAGCTGCCGGGCGGCCGGGAAACAAACAAGTGGCCTCATACTACACATAGCATGAAAGTCCTTCTAAATAACTGTGTTTGTACCACAGACAAAAGCTGCTTTCAGCGTTTCTCAGAAAAGCCTCTCAGTGCTGTGAGTGGAGGTGAATGTAGATACCTAAAGCTGTGTGGGATACTGAGAACAGGGAATGGTTGAGCACTCACCCAAATAAGTAGATATTTGTACCACACCCTGAAGGCTCTAGGAACATTGTGGAAGAGAAATTGGAAACAATGTAGGGACAGAATGTATGGAGAAGGGCTGTGAAGTGCTCTCTTCTAAGCAAGACATGACCATGGCCATCATGGACTCATAGCACCTGCACCTATTGTCTCTAGACCACACAAGTAGGGCCTGCCCATCACTCAGCTGGACATGGGGAAGAAGCTCACAAGGACAGTATCACTTACCATTAAGCTATTGGCCAATAATAGATTATGGAGACAAGGGAGGTATACATTCTATCTGTTATGTCTGCTGGTGAGCTCATTGGCTTTTACTGGATAGTGTAAAACCCATGGGCACACAATTGGTCCCAGTTAAACTCTGTGAGACGCAAAGCAAAACTTTGTGAACGTGGAAAAGAGATTTGTATTGAAGAAGAGGGGCTGGCAGGAGTAGGAGGGAGATAAAAAGGTGGGTTTAGGGTGGAGTTACTAGAATGCACTGTATGCATGTATAAAATTGTCAACAAATTTATTTTAAAAATGTATGGATTTGAGATTGAGTATCTCATGTTAGCAAAGTCCTTTCATCTTAAAACTGAGATATCACGTAAACTGGAGCCAGATGCTTTGTGCATCTCCAAATCTGTCACTTCAAGAGTAGTGGGGAGGAAATTAGGATACAAGACTGAGAAAATGAGACTTATAGTATGTGGTGATTTGGATATGATAATGCTCATGTGTTGAAGGACCAGTCCTGCAGTCCTATTAAAAGGTGATGGTCCTGAGGGCTGTGAATTTATGAATGACATCATACACTAATGCACTCATAATTGTGTGAGCACTGAGAACGTAAACTATTTAAGAGTGTACATTGGAAGAAGTAGCCCACTGGAGGCATGACCTGGAAGAGAATATTTGCATGGACTTTATTCTTTCTTGTCCTCCTTCTCGCCTCTCCTCTCCTCCCCTCCCCTTTCCTCCCCTCCCCTCCCCTCTTCTCTCCTCTCCTCCTCTTCCCCTTTTCCTCCTTTTCTCTTCATTGGTTCTTAATCTTTACTCCTGCTCTCTCCCACCTCTCTGCTTCAGAGGTACCAGATAAACAGCCTCTTCTCTCACAAGCTCCCTATCCACGATATCCTGTTTCACATTAGGTGCAAAGAGATGGAGGCAGCTGAACATGGACTGAAACTTGGTTCTAAGACCATAAATCAAAGCAAAACTTTCTATTTTTAAGTTGTTTTTCTCACACATTTTGTCAAAATTGGGAATCGCTGACTAACACAGCATCACAGATTAAACTGTGGTCAGACCCTCTGTTTTGGATCTAGCAAAAGCCACATAACTAATCTGGTCATTTCATGACACCTAGAATTAGTTGCCTTTCTTCTGCCTTTTGGGTATCTGGACCTAAACGCATTTTACCTGGTTTCAGCAAGGCTTCCCATATCAGTTTCTTACTCTTCTTGTCTCTGATTTGCAGATTAATCCCTGAACCCATGCAGTCAACATAGATCTCAGAGAAGAGCTGGGATTCCCCGGGGCTCCGGTAGCACAGCTCTAACTCCTGAAGAGAGAAAGAATTACTATGTGAGGATCAACTACTAATCCTTCAAAGGAGGGCTGTCCCCACCTCCATACTTTCACGATCTTGCTCACCACATTAGACACTGGCTGTCTTTCACACCAAGGTAACCCACAGCCTTTGCATACATATCTTTACTCAGAAGGTTGAGGACCCAACTGGGACCCCCATCCTGCTGCTTCTATTCTCATTCTGACAAAAACATGAAAGAAGCAACTTAAGGAAAGGCTGATGTTGTTTAGTTTTATAATGGGGAATGCATGGAAGTTGGGGCTCCATTCTTGGTGGCGGGAGCTTGTGGCATTGCTTGATATATCCCAGAGGATCTGCAATCCAAGGTGGCGAGCAGGGCATGGCTCTAATCCTCAAGAACAGCCACTAGTGGCCTGCTTCTGATGGTCAGGCCTAACACAATTGTTTCACGACTCCCCAGATATTAGCAGTAACTGGGAGTCAAGTGTTTAACATTTACACCTGTAGGAGACCTTTCAGATTCAAACCATGATGAGTGAGAGCTCATCCTGAAGTCCTGCTCACACATCTCAAGCAAGGACTTGCTGTCCATGTTAGGCTGGTCCCTTCTCCATACCATATTGAGTCTAATTCCTCGATTTTCCTGGCCTTCTGTATTTCTGTGTGGTCCCTTAAATTGCCTTCTACCTAATGTAGATGCATTTTTCCACATCCCAAGCCCCAATTATTTTCTCTTCAATCTCAATTTGTTGCAAAGCCCAGTAACCTGCCCCACAGAGTTCCCAAGTCTGGCATCTGATCCTGAAGAGTAGCAAACTCCTGGATGCTCACCTCAGGGATGATTTCCAGCTTCTTGGACGCAGACACTATGTAGCGGGACCCGATGTAAAGATAACCTAGTGGGGGTGGCTTGTTTATTCAAACAAACTGAAACTTCATTTCTTCATCATCAATGGCCTAGGGAACATTGCAGACAGTGATTTAGCTAGCTTTCTGGGCTATACATCTATCTGGTCTGAATAAGGTGAGGTGGAGGATCAGTAAATTTGTGTCAAGTGGAGTGGTAACACCTCCTGGGTACCCTTCTGCCTTGTGTCCTGTTATACAGTCTATTCAGTTATTGGCATCTGTCATGCTCATTGTGGGAGCAGGGGTCCCTGCCAGAGAAGGGAGTTCCTTGGGTGTGGAGCATTCCCATCCTTCTGGTGGGTGGAAAGAGGTCATGGAAGGCCTTGCGGAGATAAAGGAACATTAAAGGCAGGTGGGGGAGACTCTTGTGTGAGGGGCCCAGAAGAGGGTAGAATCATCAACACCAGTGTTCTCTTTACAGAAGTATATTCCCCCTCCAAGTGGAGAATCTATCCAAGGGGCTCAATTGTTGCATCTCAAGATTTTTGCCATCCCACCCTGGCCCCTCTTTTGTGGTCATCAGTGTCACCTTCCGAATGGTGCAGTCATTGGGGACCAGGTAGAGATGAAGGGTGACTTCCTCGACATTGATGTGATAGTAGATCAATGTGATGGGAGTGATGGGGACGAGGCTCCTGATGGTAAGGTAGATCCTCAGTAGAACTCCCACTGGGGAGAAGCTTGGGTTTTCCAAGACTGTGTAGCACTGCTCCACCCTGGCTGGAGTTTCTACGACCATCCCATGTTCTTGAAAGTGGGCCACACGGAACCAGGAGATGTCCACCTGACCCTCTGTGAAAAAACAGATTCAAAGATGGAGATTTAGTGTTTCCATTGAGCCATATTTGTCTGGAAAACTAGCATCAGAGGACTTAGAATGACTGTGGTAGTTTGAACAAAAATGGCCACCATAGTCGGTAGAACTGTTTGGGAAGGAGTAGGAGGTGTGGCCTTGCTGGAGGAGGTTTGTCACTGGGGTGGGCTTAGAAGTTTCAAAGCTTGTACCCTTTCCAATTTCCTTTCTCTCTCCTCACTGACAATAAGGATGTAAGCTCTGAGCCACTGCTTCAGTACCAAGCCTGTCTGCTTCCTGCCATGCTCCCTGGCATGATGGTCATGGTCTCACCCTCTGAAGCTATAAGCCCCAATAAATTTCTTCTTCTATAAGTTGCTTTGGTTATGATTTCTATTTAGTTTGTATTTAGTTTGATGTTTATAAGAAAAAATTTACAGCCAAAATGTAAATTTTATTAATTAACTTTCAGTTATAATACAACAGAACTATCAACTGTTTCCTCATTATCAGTTCATTATGGCAGGGAGGTAAAGGTGAGCTGCTGCCAGAGGTGACCCATGCAGACTGCCCCTCATTGGACGCAGTTTACTTCTGGCTTTGGCTAGCTTCTGTGAGCATTCCGAGTGGAGTGGAGGTTCTTGATGGTCTCATCCACAGATGCTGTAAAGAACACAGCCTCAGAGGCAACCATCAGAAACCTGACAGTCAGCAGGTCTTTGAGGTGCTGCCATCTCCAGCTGTAGGGTCTTGGGATTGGCAGTTTCCCATAAATTTTTATCTGCAGGATTGAGTTTTTCTGCTATGAAAGAGACCTAAAGGTACCTTTGTCCACTAAAGACGGGCTGGATGGATCCCTTTAATGGTTAATGCCAAATGTGGACTTAAAATCTAGAATTATCTTGAATGTATGCTTCAGGGCATGATAGATATTATCTTGATTGGACTGACTGAGTAGGGAAGACCTATCCGCTGTGTGTGTAGCATCATTCTACAAACCAGGACTCAGGACTGTGTGAAATGGAGAAGGTCACAAGCGCATAAACTTTCACTGTTCTTTCCCGTTCTATTGACAGAGGTTACCAGGTGTCACATGCTCCATGTTCTCACAGTTCCATGTCATGATGAACTGTTCCTTTGAACTGTGAGGAAAATAATTTTTTTTTTTTAAAAAAATAAAGTTCCTTTGGTCAAGTATTTTGTTGAGCTACAAGTAAAGTAACCAGGACAGAAAATTGGTATCAGGACTCAGGGTTTTGCTGTATAAACAGAATCACGTGGTTCTTAAGCCTTTGGAAATGTTTTGTGGCTGGAATGTGGAAGAGTTTTGTTCTTAGTACTAGGAAAGCCCTTCCATGCTGAGGGCAGAGCTTATGGGGCTGCAGGAAGACAAGAATGCTGAGAGAGACAGTGGAGGCTAGTCCACTGTTGCAGAGAGTAGCAAGGTTTCTATTGGGAATAGTAAAGGGATCCATTCATGCAATTTATTGCGTTAATGTCCTGAATATGAGGGAAGATGAATTTAAACATAAGGGAATACTATGGCAGAAGAAGTCTCAAGACAGAAAAATATCCAGAATAATTCTACAAAATCTCCTATATTTTTTAGAGATCAGCATCACTGCAGGGAACGCACAGTGACAATAGGAAAAAGTCTTACTCTTTGTAGGTTCATCATTTGAAGATCCGAATTTATTTAAAGGCAGAAAGCCTTAAGTGATGGTGTCCCCTGTTCCACAAATGCAAATCCCAAGGAGGTGTTCCCCCAGGTCAGCACACCATTCAGCTATGGTCCAGGGTGGGAACATCTCAAGCTGTCAACAGACCTTGGCAGAGCCATTCCTATAGTTTTTAGCCATGAAAAATGCTAGATTGATGGGCCACTGTATCATGCTGCACAGTTTCAAATAGCAGCTGAGGCCAGGAAATGTGCCTGAATCAAAGACCCCGTAAGGATTATGAGAGCTCATCCTATGGACCTTTGAAAGTGTAACCTAAGGTGGAATGGAGATGTCAGAATCACTTTTTTTTTTTTTTTTGGCTAAATTATGGTTTAGGGAAGGAGTAGAGAAATGGCCCTAGGAGTGGATATGTGTGCTTCAAGTAGAACTGGAAGGGAGTTATCTATGTCCTTTGGAGTACAGTGGATGATATCATGATCTCCATAACTGGACAGAGAGCCACAGGATATGGTGTTTCTGCTGATGGAGTTTTGTCTTGCTGTGGTCTTCTGATCAGTCCTTGGTGTGCCCTGACTCTTCTATTTTGACATGGCAATGCCTATTTTGTACCAATGTATATTATAATCTGTTTTCTATCTTACAGGGGCTCAGAGTTAAGTTTACCTTGAGTTGCTGTCGAGGGGCAGACTTTTTGGACTTTAGACTGTTGGAATTATTAAGGACTATGGAGACCTTTGAAGTTGGATTACATTTTGACTTAGGAGACAAAACTAAAATTTTGGAACATGAAGGGGAAAGTTACGAATTAAAGTGATGTGCTTGGGTGTCAAGTTGACAATGGTAGGATCATGATGATGAATCTCACCAGCCAACTTGATGTGATCCCTGTTAATGGAGGGACCACTCTGCAGCTACCATTTTCACATCCCTTCAGCACTGAGTTTGCTTCCAACTTGCACCATGACAAATAGTGCTGCAGTATGTGTCATTTATCCAAGAGCATTTCTATTTCCATAGATGCTTGTTCATTTCCTGCCTGCCCACACCCAAAATAACCACACAGAAACTATATTAATTAAATCACTGCTTGGCCTACTAGCTCTAGCTTCTTATTGGCTAGCTCTTACATCTTAAATTAACCGTTTTCTATTATTTTTTTATTTTACCATGAGGCTTGTGGCCTACCAGTAAGGTTCTGTCTGACAGCTTGCGTCTTTCTCCTACATGGCATCTCCTTGACTCTTCCTCTTTTCTCCCAGCATTCAGTTTAGTTTTCCCACCTAGCTTTATTCTGCCCTCTCATAGACCCAAGCAGCTTCTTTACTCATTAACCAATAGAAGCAACACATATACAGATGAACTTCCTGCATCATATTTCTGTTAGGTGATTGCTTTGGAATCAACAACTATGAGAAAATGAGACAATGAAATTGCTCCCATAAATGCTACCGCTTAGGATTTCTATCAATGACGTGATAGTCAATAATTTAACATGGACCTACACAGCATAAAAATGCCCTCTGTGTGACAGTTCTGGGCCTTAAACCCTGGCTCTCCCCAAGTCAGCTTCAGCTCCAGCACCAGATCCTGGCACTTACCCATGTTTTGTGCTGTGTTGATTTTTACAGAATTTCAAAAGATGTACCTCTCCAACTTCCCTTCTTGCTAGGGAAACTGGTCATGACCTTCCTAGGACTTGAGGGGAATGTATGGGGCTGTACGTTCATTGTTAAAACAAGAAATGTCCTGAGGCATCTAAGATGACTTGGTAAGTTTTGGGTTTTTGGATATAGAGATTCACTATATATCTCCTACTAGAAGTCATCTTGATCTTGCCTAGTCTTCAGAACTCTGGGATCACAGGTATGTGTCACCAACTGTCCCTGTGACTGTCCTTCCACTACATATTGTTCTTTTATAAACTTTAACAGATTCACATATATTTAATTTTCCAAAGGTGTACTATTCTGTTCTGAATGGAAGTAAGAAACAGGAAGGGCAGTGACCTTCAGGGAAGAAGCTTGAGTGGTGACTGGGAAGTGTTGTTGGGGAGACTAGGAACTCTGTGTGGACCTGCTGGACTGGCCTCCTTAGACACACTGGGAAGTCACTATCTGGGTATCAGTGCTCCTGTGTCAGGGTCTGGAGTGTAAGACCTCATGAGTTTATGAATGTAACTATTACCTTTCTTTGTTTTGTGAGTTCTTTTCAGCTGAGTCCCGCTTGCTTTCTTCATCTTCAACTGTTTTCTTCTTTGGGGCTTGGCATTAATTGCAAATATTTTTAATCTGAGGGATCTTCGCTTGTTTTCTATTCATGGTTCTCATATCAGCTGGAACTGTCTGCATTTCTTCTTCAGTTTTTATGACTTCTTCAACTGTCAGGTCATCCTCTTGGACCTACTCCTCATCTTCAACACCATGAACAAACACCATCTCCATCTAGAGTGAGCTGGATTCTTCTGGTCCCTGTGGTAGGCCCAGTGTTGTGCTCCATGAATCAAGGTGAGGAAATTGGCCTCACTTGTCACTTGTACAATACCCGATTCTCTTGCTTTCATGTTTTTTTTTTTCCTTTTATAGGCAGAATCTTGTAACATGAGGGCCAGCTTGTTGCTTGGGGTTTCTGTCCTGCCCTGTACCGCACAGCTGGCAAGGTCCCAAAGAAAATCACACAGAGATCTCCATAAGTTATAAAACTGATTGGCCCATTAGCTCAGTCTTCTTATTAGCTCTTGTAGATTATATTAACCCATTATTCTTATCTATGTTAGCCACATGGCTCTTGGTACCTTTCAGTAGGGCAGGTTACATCTTGCTTCTCGATGGTCTGGGCTGGAATGTGGGAAGAGCTTCCTTCTTCCCAGAATACTCCTGTTCTCATCGCCCCAACTCTACTTCCTGCCTGACCAATCAGCGTTTATTTAAAACGTGATTGACAGAATACAGACATTTCTCCTGCACCAGAATCTGGATGTGTAGTTTAGACTGCATTTGAATTCTAAATTCTCCCGCCTCCGTCCCAGAAGCGCTAGGATTACAGGCATATAGTAATACTTTCTTTATGAGATCTTTCACTGAGAACTTGGTATTTATTAAAACATCTTCCTTTTGGTTACAGGCTGTGCTTGTTTAGCTTGTTGTTCTTGTGTGACTCCTAACAGTGGAGTATCTCTGACTCCTTTTCTCAAGACCATTTTCCTCCTGCAGGGTTGCTTTGTCTACCCTTGATATGAGGGTTTGTGCTTAGTCTTATTGCAACTTGTTATGCTGTGTGTCTTTGATATAACTTGGGAAGCCTGCTCTTTTCTGAAGGGAAACAGAGGAGCAGTGGATCTGGAGGGGAGAGGAGGTGAGGAGGAGAACTGTGATAGCAGAGAGAGGGGTGGGTGCAGTATGTATGTACTGTATGAGAGAAGAATAAACAAAAAGAAAAAAAAAACCCTGAAGGAATCAGTTTGGAACACTTTATGAGTCCTACCCTGATTTCTTAGGAAACACATCTTCTGTTGCTCCAGTTCTCAAATAGAATCTGGTGGCCCCATTTTCTCCCTGTCTGCAGTTGTTCAATGAATTACAGTGTTGGTAGACACTGGGTAACAATGTTCCTTGTTAATTTCTTTAGTCTTACTTTGCAGCAATCTCTTCAAATTGCTCAATTTATTCTCAGTTCCCTGCTGGGCCCATGAGGGACATGGTGTGTAGAGAACATTTAATAATCACCAGCAAATATTGCTATTGAGGATATCACTTTCCACTCAGGGAAATAGTCATAAGGCTGGGAGACGTATGTTTCAAACAAGATACATCCAACAAGAGGGGATGACAAAACATCTCAGTGCCCACCTCCATAACCGGCTCTGCCCTGCTGAGGAAGCCATGAGACCTTTCCTCATCACCATCACCCTCTACTCTGCTATAGGACATGGCAGCCATCGCCACCACCCGACTCCCTATCCTTCCCTTGGTTACCTTGGAGATCCACAAAGTGAGGGAGGTACACAGCAGCCACAGCTCCCCGCTCAGCCTTGATGTCAAACAGAGGCCCAGCCACCATGTGACTGTCCGGCAAGGGCGTCTTGTCCAGGTGTTGGCTCCAACTACAGAATCCAATCTCAATGGTCACTGCCCTTGTCACCACAAAGTGGAGTCCTATGCTGGGACAGTGGTAAGAACCATTCACAGGGAACTGGACTCTGGAAGAGAGAGAGGCAGACACCAATGAACACCAGCTCTGCTCTTCCATTAGGTGCAGACCCAGGGCAGGACTGGGGACTCAGCAGACTTGAGCCAGATGGTTCTGAGTTCTGGTTCCACTTCTAGATGTATGTGGATCCCTGGCTAAGTCACTTAGCCCAGATCTGTTTACACACACACACACACACACACACACACACACACACACACACACAATGACAATGCCATCTTATAGATCTGTAAGTACTGAGTGATTTAGAGCAAAGTTTTGGGGCTCCAGCTAGGACCATGCACACTCGCCAAAGGCTCTACCACTGAGGTCCATCTTCAGTTTTTAGACTTTTTGTTCCTGAGGTATATATTTAAGGATACCTATGAGAAAGAGAAATGAAATATAATGAGGGCGTTAGTGTTGTTTCTATTATGAATAAAATAGTCTGCAGAAAACCAACAATTAAGATAATAAGCAAAGCTGAGCACAGATGTTTAGATGGAATGAAGGACTCACATCAGCTCTGTTGATGTGGTGATGGTGTGCTGGTCATGGAAGACGAGGTCCTGTCTTAAGTATGGGGGAGAAATGGTGAAGTGTTTATGAGTGAAGTCACCTCATGTCCTGGACTCACACTACTGTGATAGCGTGAAAAGGGGGAGTGTGAGTAGTTGAGACAAACTTGGAGAAATGACTGCTGGAACTGAGCACTTGGACATGGAATTCTTGTGCTCTTCCGTTTTGCACGTCAAGAAAAATTTTTATGATAAAGACCCCTATTTTCATAACAGCCCAAACTTCTTATTCCAGTCCTGACATTGCCTCCCTGGTTGGTGAGGGGAGGAGGAGACACAGTAGAGAATATACAGGTGCAATCTGTGGGGGTCCCTTGTGGAAAATGTGCTTGGTAAAGACAGCCTTCTTCCAGGCAGAGCTCACTCACCGGTACAGGTTCCTCTCTCTGTCAGTCACCTCAACAGCAACAGGCCCTGTAGGGCCCCAGAAGTCATCTTCAGTCCGCAGTGGTTCCACACACTTGTCTCTTGAAGAGGCAGGAGAATATGGATCGAAGGGAGCCAGGGATGCCAGTTGTGAGTACTCCTCCTTGCACTCCTCATCAGACTCCTTTTCTAGAAAAAGCCAGGCAATGCTCACGCAATGTCTTCCCAGCACTCCCTAGTACTGGCTCAGGGCTCAACTCTTTTCTAGGTTGCCCAGCCTAGGCCTTACCAGGAAGCGAGTCTACAGACTTTATCACTGTTCCTGAGGTTACCTACACATCCCAGGGATGATATCCCTAATGATGGTTATCCAATATTAGGCGCTCCGGAGAAGTCCTATAAAATACACACACCCACTCACCCACACACACATGAAACACTACATGAACTTAGCATGTTGCATATGTGTGTGAAAATAATAATTAAATAAAAGAGATAATGAATTTGAGAGGGAGCAGGGTGGGGCTATAAGAAAAAAGTTATCGGCCGGGCGGTGGTGGCGCATGCCTTTAATCCCAGCACTCGGGAGGCAGAGGCAGGTGGATCTCTGTGAGTTCGAGACCAGCCTGGTCTACAAGAGCTAGTTCCAGGACAGGTTCCAAAACCACAGAGAAACCCTGTCTCGAAAAACCAAAAAAAAAAAAAAAAAAAGTTATTTTAAAATATGAGAAAGAGAAAAACTTTGTTCTTAAGTTTGGTTTCTTGGGTTGGAGAGATGGCTCAGTGGTTAAGAGCATTGACTGTTCTTCCAGAGGACCTAAGTTCAATTCCCAGCAACCACATGGTGGCTCACAACCATCTATAATGAGATCTGGCACCCTCTTCTGACCTGCAGGAATACACAGAGGCAGAATGTTGTATACATAATAAATAAAATTTTAAAAAGTTTGGTTTTTCTTAGGAAATTACCTGCTCCAATGATCCTAACAAGGTTAACTTTAATACTCTCATGATTAGGGGTTAACAAACCCCACTGAAACACAGAGTCGGGGAGGGGGCGGAGAAGGGAGAGGGGGACAGAGATAGAGACAGAAACAGAGAGAGTTACTTGTCTATATTTGGCCAATGTTTGCCAACCTCAGCTGGCCACTTATTTTTTCAAGCTGAAAACAGCAGAAATAATAGTTTTGAGTGCAAATAGTTACATAAAATCAGAAAAATATACTCAAATCAAGAAGTTAAACTCACAGACCGTGTGCTGTGTGAATTTCTGAGCCACACTAGACAGATCTCGGCCTCCGATGGCTACAGAGCCAGATAAACGCAAAGGAATGGCCTTTGCGCCAGCCGCAGGCAGCAGCACAAGCAGGCAAGCAGCAGTGGCAGGGAGCAGGGCTGGAGCTGCTGCAGGAAACTGGGAGCTGGAAGGTGGTTGCGAATCTGGGAAGCAGCCAGCAGCTGAGGGAGGGGTTCTGGGCTGGATGCAAGTGCACAGGCCGGAGGGGAGCCGAAGTGTGTAATGGTTGCGAGGAGCGTGGAGATAAAATTTAATAATTGAAAAATGGGGAAACTCATGCTACCCGAGTGGAAGGTCCGAAGTCCAAAGGGGTGTGAAGTCCAAAGGGGTCCCATGGGCACCGCGCAGAGAGCACAAGCACCTATCTACTCCAGTTTATCTACCTGGGCTCCAGGCGGCCACACCCTAGCCATATATGATTGGCTGAGCTTCCCCACCAGTCAGAGACCCACAGAGCCTACAGTATCAGGTATCATGTCCCTTACTCAGTTTCTCTCCTTTCCACTTGATACATGACAAGGCATGCCATGTGGATTGAGCATTTGCTTTGAAGCTGTTGTTAGCTATTATGTTATGTTCTCAGACAAGACACCCCGTCCGTACTTAGAATCAATGACGAAAGGGGAAATGCCATGAAATATCATTTTAAGATGTGTTATATCTGTTATGCTATGGAACATTTGTTTTAATGATGCAAAGATGGGTTGAACCTTTTTTTGGTGCATTTGTTGAACTCTGTGAAGATGTGTTATTTTGTCTGTCTATAACACCCAATTGGTCTAATAAGGAGCTGAAAGGTCAATAGAAAGGCAGGAAAGAGAACAGGCAAGGCTGGCAGGCAGAGCTATAAACAGGAGAAAAAGAGCACAGAAGAAGGAACTAGAACTAAAGGAGAAGAGGACACCAGGGGTCAGCCATCTAGCTACACAGCCAGTCATAGAGTAAGAAGCAAAGAAAGTATAATAGAGTAGAGAAAGATAAAAGTCCAGGGGCAAAAGGTAGATGAGATAATTTAGGAGAAACTGGCTAGGAAGAACCCAAGCTGAGGTCAGGCATTTACAAGTAATAATAAAACTCCCTGTGATTTATTTGGGATGTAAATGGCAGGCCCTCAAAACACTCAATGACACACAGCTACATTTTAAAGAGCCAAGCGTAAAACACAACCAAACACAGAGGCTCACATGTGAAGAACCACCATCCATGTCATTAAAAGTCCCAATGCCAGCTGCCAGCTCAGCTTACCTTGGGTTTTGAATCCAGACTCCTCAGAACCCCCTGTATCATCAAACAGCTTCCTAAAGTCTGATTTCTTAATTGGTCTCCAATATACAATCGTTGAGCTCATTCGTGAAGAACCCACAGAGGAGGGCATTACTGCACCTGTAAATGATGGCCATGGGAAGGGACAGTTTTTGTGTGATTGTCAGAGAGGCAACAGTAGCAGTCAGGGCAGCAAGGCCGGGGTCCTACCTGCTTATCCACATACCCTTCTCCACATTGTTCTGGAGAGAGTGATGCTCTTACAGGTGCTGCAGGAAGTGATCCTGTGCTGGGACCATGAAGTTGACACACCTATGCTGATCTCTAGTCCTAAGTGTGAGTCTCCATTCTTCTCTGAGTCTCAATTCCCTCCCGTGGGTCTCTGAGCTTCTACCCCACGGGGATAGGTAGGCTCTTACTGTGTAGTTCAGGCTTGCCTTGAGCTCCTATTTTCCTGCATTAATTTCACACTTTCTAGGATTATAGGAATATGTCTACGACCAGTCGTTATATGTTTGAAGCCTTTTGATTTTCTTAATGTTGAATCTACAGCTTCAAGATGGATATAGTGTCCATCAGACAGAGTGGTTCAGAGATTCTTGGGGGCCCAGGAAAATATTTCAAATAACAGCTGACTTATTAAGTGATATCCTAGGGAGAAAGGTGAGAGTCTTTAAAACAAAGCTTTGATAAGCAATGAAAATGAGCGTGGAAGTGTGGGATGGAGTGGAATTGTTTTGGATACTGGTGGCAGCATAGGAGCAACCTTTCTTGGGAGAGAGATATGAACAGTAGAATATCTGATACAGTATCAGTGGAGTCTTCCTCAACCCATGTGCACCAGCCTTCTTGCGTGCAGCCTGAAGATGAGACCTGCACATGATGCTGAGTCAGCAGCAAAACATGGGCGAGCAGAGTCGATGCTCCGATACCGAAACTGAGACACAGTCTGTGCAATGTCCTTTCCTATAACATGCATTAAATGAGCTAAGGTGACAACTACAGGTGATGGCTTTTGATTCTGTATTCATCATTCTCAAGACTTTAAGTGGGATGGGAAGAATGGAATAGAAGAGGAAGACAAGGGTTAGGTGTGGGCTGGACCTTCACAGAGTAGCAGTAGGAGGAAGGAGGAATAAATCTTTCCTCAGGTCCCATTATTCTAAATTCCAGCCCTGTGTCTGTCTTTATATGCTGTGAGCTAGGCCCAAGGTAACTTCTTTCTGTAGACCTTGTGCACTAGAGAGCGGTGGCTACTTTGATGCTTGAGAAGAGGCAATGGTGTAGCCTCGCTAAGCTGAAATAAGGGAAGTCAAGCTGAAACTGAGGCAGATGCTTTCTCTCTGCTTGGAGTCCATCTTCATGGAACGTCAGGACCTGTATGACGTCTGGAATTTCAGAACCAACTTATATTTTGAGCTGAACTCTGGGTGCCATTTGGGCTAGGCTCACTGCTGACCCCTGTGGGTTCCAGTTTCTTCACATGTCAGAGCCCAGGGGCATTTCTAGCCTGTAACTCTTTGCACTCTATCATGGCTCCCCTGGTCTATTTATATTGCCTGTCCCAGGTCCCCCCATACAGGGAGAGATTCACCTGTGAAGAACCATCATCTTTGTGAACTAGAGGTCCCATTTCCAGCTGCCAGTTCCACTTACTGTCACTACAGTATCCAGACTCAGCAGATCCACATACATCATGCTCAGAATCTAAAGTCCAACTTGGTCTCCGTCGTTTATGTTCTGAACTCAGTAGTTGTGAGGATCCTTGGTGGGTATTGGTATCCACATCGGGCGTGATCGTTGAGCCTGGGGGAAATGATGAAGAAAGGGCCATGGGAAGGGGTAGTGATTGTGTGATTGTCAGAGAGGCAGCAGTAGGAGTCAGGGCAGCAAGGCTGGGATCTGACCTGCTTATCCTCACACCCTTCTCCACAGTGTTCTGGAGAGAATGCTGCAGGAAACAGTCCTGCACGGGGACATGAAGTTCACACACCTGTGCGGATCCACGCCAGTTCTGTGTGCCTGTGTCTATTCTTCCCTGACCCTCTATTCCCTCAAATGGGTCTCTGAGTTTCTATTCCACATAAATAGAATCTTACTGTACAGTTCACGCTAACCTGGAGCTCAGAATCCTCCCACATTAGTTTCATAAGTTTTGGGATTATTCTTATAATACTCCTTATGTCTGCAACCAGGTAATTTAACTTTTTTTTGTTTCATAGTGTTTGATCTACAGTTTCAGGGGGATATATGTCCATTACACAAACACATATTTTATTGCAATATTAGTTGAATGTATGTTACATTTGTTTGTGCTGTGGAATAAGTGTCTAATGATGCAAAGATGTATTGCATTCTTTTATGATGCATTTGTTTAAGACCCCTAGTCCGTACGTAGAACCAATGACAAAAGGGGGAAAGCCATGAAATATTATTTTAATGTGTTATATCTGTCATGCTATGGAACATTTGTTTTAATGATGCAAAGATGGGTTGAACCGTTTTATGGTGCATTTGTTGAACTCTGTGAAGCTGTGTTATTTTGTCTGTCTATAACACCCAATTGGCCTAATAAGGAGCTGAAAGGTCAATAGAAAAGCAGGAGAGAGAACAGGCAGGGCTGGCAGGCAGACCTATAAACAGGAGAAAAAGAGCACAGAAGAAGGAACTAGAACTAAAGGAGAAGAGGACACCAGGGGTCAGCCATCTAGCTACACAGCCAGTCATAGAGTAAGAAGTAGAGAAAGTATAATAGAATAGAGAAAGAAAAAAGCCCAGGGGCAAAGGTAAATAGGATAATTTAGGAGAAACTGGCTAGGAAGAACCCAAGCTGAGGTCAGGCATTTACAAGTAATAATAAAGCTCCCTGTGATTTATTTGGGATGTAGATGGCAGGCCCTCAAAACACTCAATGACACACAGCTACATTTTAAAGAGCCAAGCGTAAAACACAACCAAACACAGAGGCTCACATGTGAAGATCCACCATCCATGTCATTAAAAGTCCCAATGCCAGCTGCCAGCTCAGCTTACCTTGGGTTTTGAATCCAGACTCCTCAGAACCCCCTGTATCATCAAACAGCTTCCTAAAGTCTGATTTCTTAATTGGTCTCCAATATACAATCGTTGAGCGCATTCGTGAAGAACCCACAGAGGAGGGCATTACTGCACCTGTAAATGATGGCCAATGGGAAGGGACAGTGATTGTGTGATTGTCAGAGAGGCAACAGTAGCAGTCAGGGCAGCAAGGCCGGGGTCCTACCTGCTTATCCACATACCCTTCTCCACAGTGTTCTGGAGAGAGTGATGCTCTTACAGGTGCTGCAGGAAGTGATCCTGTGCTGGGACCATGAAGTTGACACACCTATGCTGATCTCTAGTCCTAAGTGTGGGTCTCCATTCTTCTCTGAGTCTCAATTCCCTCCCGTGGGTCTCTGAGCTTCTACCCCACGGGGATAGGTAGGCTCTTACTGTGTAGTTCAGGCTTGCCTTGAGCTCCTATTTTCCTGCATTAATTTCACACTTTCTAGGATTATAGGAATATGTCTACGACCAGTCGTTATATGTTTGAAGCCTTTTGATTTTCTTAATGTTGAATCTACAGCTTCAAGATGGATATAGTGTCCATCAGACAGAGTGGTTCGGAGATTCTTGGGGGCCCAGGAAAATATTTCAAATAACAGCTGACTTATTAAGTGATATCCTAGGGAGAAAGGTGAGAGTCTTTAAAACAAAGCTTTGATAAGCAATGAAAATGAGCGTGGAAGTGTGGGATGGAGTGGAATTGTTTTAGTGGAGCACCTTGGAAGAAGGGAATAGTGTGGCAAAGACGTGAAAGGAGGATACTGGTGGCAGCATAGGAGCAACCTTTCTTGGGAGAGAGATATGAACAGTAGAATATCTGATACAGTATCAGTGGAGTCTTCCTCAACCCATGTGCACCAGCCTTCTTGCGTGCAGCCTGAAGATGAGACCTGCACATGATGCTGAGTCAGCAGCAAAACATGGGAGAGCAGAGTCGATGCTCCGATACCGAAACTGAGACACAGTCTGTGCAATGTCCTTTCCTATAACATGCATTAAATGAGCTAAGGTGACAACTACAGGCAATGGCTTTTGATTCTGTATTCATCATTCTCAAGACTTTAAGTGGGATGGGAAGAATGGAATAGAAGAGGAAGACAAGGGTTAGGTGTGGGCTGGACCTTCACAGAGTAGCAGTAGGAGGAAGGAGGAATAAATCTTTCCTCAGGTCCCATTATCCTAAATTCCAGCCCTGTGTCTGTCTTTATATGTTGTGAGCTAGGCCAAGGTAATCTCTATCTCTAGACCTTGTGCAGTAGACTTGATGCTTGAGAAGAGGCAATGGTGTAGCCTCGCTAAGCTGAAATAAGGGAAGTCAAGCTGAAACTGAGGCAGATGCTTTCTCTCTGCTTGGAGTCCATCTTCATGGAACGTCAGGACCTGTATGACGTCTGGGATTTCAGAACCAACTTATATTTTGAGCTGAACTCTGGGTGCCATTTGGGCTAGGCTCACTGCTGACCCCTGTGGGTTCCAGTTTCTTCACGTGTCAGAGCCCAGAGGCATTTCTAGTCTGTAACTCTTTGCACTCTATCATGGCTCCTCTGGTCTATTTACATTGCCTGTCCCAGGTCCCCCCATACAGGGGGAGGTTCACCTGTGAAGAACCATCATCTTTGTGAACTAGAGGTCCCATTTCCAGCTGCCAGCTCCACTTACTGTCACTACAGTATCCAGACTCAGCAGATCCACATACATCATGCTCAGAATCTAAAGTCCAACTAGGTCTCCGTCGTTTATGTTCTGAACTCAGTAGTTGTGAGGATCCTTGGTGGGTATTGGTATCCACATCGGGCGTGATTGTTGAGCCTGGGGGAAATGATGAAGAAAGGGCCATGGGAAGGGGTAGTGATTGTGTGATTGTCAGAGAGGCAGCAGTAGGAGTCAGGGTAGCAAGGCTGGGGTCTGACCTGCTTATCCTCACGCCCTTCTCCACAGTGTCCTGGAGAGAATGCTGCAGGAAACAGTCCTGCACGGGGACATCAAGTTCACACACCTGTGCGGATCGACTCCAGTTCTGTGTGCCAGTCTCTATTCTTCCCTGACCCTCTATTCCCTCATATAGGTCTCTGAGTTTCTCTTCCACATTAATAGAATCTTACTGTACAGTTCACGCTAACCTGGAGCTCAGACTCCTCCCACATTAGTTTCATAAGTTTTGGGATTATAGGAGTATGTCTGCAACCAGGTAATTTAACTTTTTTTTATTTCATAGTGTTTGATCTACAGTTTCAGGGGGATATATGTCCATTACACACACACATATTTTTTTGCAACATTAGTTGAATATATGTTACATTTGTTTGTGCTGTGGAATATGTGTCTAATGATTCAAAGATGTATTGCATTCTCTTATGATGCATTTGTTTAAGACCCCTAGTCCGTACGTAGAACCAATGACAAAAGGGGGAAAGCCATGAAATATTATTTTAAGATGTGTTATATCTGTCATGCTATGGAACATTTGTTTTAATGATGCAAAGATGGGTTGAACCGTTTTATGGTGCATTTGTTGAACTCTGTGAAGCTGTGTTATTTTGTCTGTCTATAACACCCAATGGCCTAATAAGGAGCTGAAAGGTCAATAGAAAGGCAGGAGAGAGAACAGGCAAGGCTGGCAGGCAGAGCTATAAACAGGAGAAAAAGAGCACAGAAGAAGGAACTAGAACTAAAGGAGAAGAGGACACCAGGGGTCAGCCATCTAGCTACACAGCCAGTCATAGAGTAAGAAGTAAAGAAAGTATAATAGAGTAGAGAAAGATAAAAGCCCAGGGGCAAAAGGTAGATGTGATAATTTAGGAGAAACTGGCTAGGAAGAACCCAAGCTGAGGTCAGGCATTTACAAGTAATAATAAAACTCCCTGTGATTTATTTGGGATGTAGATGGCAGGCCCTCAAAACACTCAATGACACACAGCTACATTTTAAAGAGCCAAGTGTAAAACACAACCAAACACAGAGGCTCACATGTGAAGAACCACCATCCATGTCATTAAAAGTCCCAATGCCAGCTGCCAGCTCAGCTTACCTTGGGTTTTGAATCCAGACTCCTTAGAACCCCCTGTATCATCAAACAGCTTCCTAAAGTCTGATTTCTTAATTGGTCTCCAATATACAATCGTTGAGCTCATTCGTGAAGAACCCACAGAGGAGGGCATTACTGCACCTGTAAATGATGGCCATGGGAAGGGACAGTTTTTGTGTGATTGTCAGAGAGGCAACAGTAGCAGTCAGGGCAGCAAGGCCTGGGTCCTACCTGCTTATCCACATACCCTTCTCCACATTGTTCTGGAGAGAGTGATGCTCTTACAGGTGCTGCAGGAAGTGATCCTGCGCTGGGACCATGAAGTTGACACACCTATGCTGATCTCTAGTCCTAAGTGTGGGTCTCCATTCTTCTCTGAGTCTCATTCCCTCCCGTGGGTCTCTGAGCTTCTACCCCACGGGGATAGGTAGGCTCTTACTGTGTAGTTCAGGCTTGCCTTGAGCTCCTATTTTCCTGCATTAATTTCACACTTTCTAGGATTATAGGAATATGTCTACGACCAGTCGTTATATGTTTGAAGCCTTTTGATTTTCTTAATGTTGAATCTACAGCTTCAAGATGGATATAGTGTCCATCAGACAGAGTGGTTCAGAGATTCTTGGGGGCCCAGGAAAATATTTCAAATAACAGCTGACTTATTAAGTGATATCCTAGGGAGAAAGGTGAGAGTCTTTAAAACAAAGCTTTGATAAGCAATGAAAATGAGCGTGGAAGTGTGGGATGGAGTGGAATTGTTTTAGGATACTGGTGGCAGCGTAGGAGCAACCTTTCTTGGGAGAGAGATATGAACAGTAGAATATCTGATACAGTATCAGTGGAGTCTTCCTCAACCCATGTGCACCAGCCTTCTTGCGTGCAGTCTGAAGATGAGAGACCTGCACATGATGCTGAGTCTGCAGCAAAACATGGGAGAGCAGAGTCGATGCTCTGATACCGAAACTGAGACACAGTCTGTGCAATGTCCTTTCCTATAACATGCATTAAATGAGCTAAGGTGACAACTACAGGTGATGGCTTTTGATTCTGTATTCATCATTCTCAAGACTTTAAGTGGGGTGGGAAGAATGGAATAGAAGGGAAAGAGAAGGGTTAGGTGTGGGCAGGACCTTCACAGAGTAGCAGTAGGAGGAAGGAGGAATAAATCTTTCCTCAGGTCCCATTATTCTAAATTCCAGCCCTGTGTCTGTCTTTATATGCTGTGATCTAGGCCAAGGTAACCTCTATCTCTAGACCTTGTGCACTAGAGAGCGGTGGCTACTTTGATGCTTGAGAAGAGGCAATGGTGTAGCCTCGCTAAGCTGAAATAAGGGAAGTCAAGCTGAAACTGAGGCAGATGCTTTCTCTCTGCTTGGAGTCCATCTTCATGGAACGTCAGGACCTGTATGACGTCTGGAATTTCAGAACCAACTTATATTTTGAGCTGAACTCTGGGTGCCATTTGGGCTAGGCTCACTGCTGACCCCTGTGGGTTCCAGTTTCTTCACATGTCAGAGCCCAGGGGCATTTCTAGCCTGTAACTCTTTGCACTCTATCATGGCTCCCCTGGTCTATTTATATTGCCTGTCCCAGGTCCCCCCATACAGGGGGAGGTTCACCTGTGAAGAACCATCATCTATGTGAACTAGAGGTCCCATTTCCAGCTGCCAGCTCCACTTACTGTCACTACAGTATCCAGACTCAGCAGATCCACATACATCATGCTCAGAATCTAAAGTCCAACTTGGTCTCCGTCGTTTATGTTCTGAACTCAGTAGTTGTGAGGATCCTTGGTGGGTACTGGTATCCACATCGGGCGTGATCGTTGAGCCTGGGGGAAATGATGAAGAAAGGGCCATGGGAAGGGGTAGTGATCGTGTGATTGTCAGAGAGGCAGCAGTAGGAGTCAGGGTAGCAAGGCTGGGGTCTGACCTGCTTATCCTCACACCCTTCTCCACAGTGTCCTGGAGAGAATGCTGCAGGAAACAGTCCTGCATGGGGACATCAAGTTCACACACCTGTGCGGATCCACGCCAGTTCTGTGTGCCTGTGTCTATTCTTCCCTGACCCTCTATTCCCTCATATAGGTCTCTGAGTTTCTATTCCACATAAATAGTTAGAATCTGACTCTAAGAATGGCCGAGATCAAAAACACTGATGACATCTTCAACTGAAAAGGTGTAAGAGAGGTGGGGCTCTAAGGTTCACTTAGCGTTTCTGCTTGCCTTCTGGTTCCAGGCTCTCCTGGCCCTGTGAATCCTTTGGACAAGAGATTTGCCTAACCATGGAAACCCAGCAAGTGGGCTCAGTGGTTATGAAGGAGCCACAGTAGTGGTTTTGGGTCCTTGTTGTACTTACTTATCATTAATTCCTTTTCTGCTGGGGCTTTGGTCTGCTGTGGCTCCAGATCCATCTGCTTTCTCTTGGGGTCCAAGACCTGTTGACCCCTTTGCTGAGCCTCCTCTGTGCCTCTCGCCATCGGGGACTGGGCTTCTTTCATGGCCATAGAACCCTCAGAGGATGCTTGACTGTGCAGCTTGCACTGGTCCCGCTTCCGTTTTCTCTTCTGTCGCTGCTCCGTGTTTAAGAGCAGTAGATCCTTGTCTCTACCAGCCATGTCTGTGCTGGGAAAGGGTGTTTGACTGGAACTGACAGAGGAGAACTGGAAATAAAGAAAGTGTAGAGCAGTATCTACAGCGACAGATAATGCTCTGATCAGAACAATTGAAGAACTCGGGTTTCTCCTGGGGATAAAGACTGTGTGTCCTGGTGCAGTGTTTGAGCTTTATAGAGCAAAAGAAAGAACTCTGGGAGGAAGTTTTATTGGTGGATATGTTCTCTAGAGCTTCATGAATGATGCCTGTGGACGTTCTCGTTACTGCTTTGACTTTTTTATCAGGCAAGTGTGCTGTTATGCTGAATTGGAGGTTTTTCAACTTGTCTAAGGTTTGTTATTTTAGGTCATTAAGGTCATTTATCTGACCCTGAGGACCAGTAAAAGAAGGGGGGGGTATGTATTCTCTCATTGGCTGCTTCCTGCAGGAGGGGAATGATGGAGGTGGGGCTAAGCTTTATCTCTTGGGTTTAAAGGGGAATAGGTTAGGGTGACTTCATGAACCAGAAAAAGAGTTAACTTGATCTGCTACAGTAGATCATGTGATTGCTGTCATTCACTCCTGGAGAAATCTGTGAAAACAGTTAATAGACGGAGCTATAGTAAGTAATATGACACTGAAGACAGGGGACCCAGTTAGCTCCTAGTCAGGGTAGCCATTGTCCTAATATGGACCTAGTGATGGCCGTGATTTGATCCATGAGGAACTTGTGTAAAACTTTAAAGGACAGGAAAAAATGGAAGGATGAGGGTAAAGAGGAATGGAGAGATCAAGGGGAGAAAGCAGAGTGGGAGGGAACCAGAAGTCCATCTTTAGGAAGATGACTGTTACTGAATCTTTGTCTGGTACTTAATTGAGTCTTGGGGCCCTGTCAAACAGCTTGGGTTTGTTGGTGCAGAAGCAGCTGTATTCCTGGAGGAGGGCACAGTTCCCAACACTAGCAGCTGACAGCAGATCTAGGTTTCTGACTTTGGAAAATTGCAAGAGCAAAGACTTGTCTCAGGCCTAGCCGTGGTGATGGAGTCGGGGAATGGAAATGTTAGCATTTGGAGAGTGGAGGGTGGGGAAATGTAGGGATGGGGAAGTAAGAAGATGGAAGGATGCAGGACATGGAGCATGATTGCAGGGAGGATTAGAGGATGCTAATCAAGGGAGAAGGGTTGGGGATGGAGAAAAGGGTGTTGGGATTACAGGGACAGGAGCAAGAGAGGATAGGAAGACAGGGATGGAGGATCCAGGGATGGAACGTGCAGGGCACTCAATACTCTGTGTTTCTCAAATTCTTCCTTTTCTAGTGTCCCACTCTAAGATCAATCCTTCAGCCATTACTGTGACAGAGGGCAGGATGAGGAGAGGTAGCACAGAGGGGGAGTCAAGAGCTCAGTATGAGTTCAGGCTATCCCCTGTGAAGGAATTTAGAAGTCTCTTGTCCATGGGTACCACACAGGGAGAATAATCCAGAGACAACGAAGCTGGAAGGACAAATTACACAGAGAAAACCAAAGAGCCTCATGGACAAGTGTGAGGCGTTAGAGCGACCCAAGACTTTCCCAGAGGACCCCAAAAAAGGACAAAGCGAACATTAGTTCTACGACCTTGTCCAGGAGTGAAACTGGTGAGGCTGTTCTGACACTGGAGCCAGTGCCTCGGAGGAACTGAAGTTGTAGCTTCTGGGGACCTGACTCTTCTCCATGGACTGTGGTTTTCAGTCGTAAGGCAACTGTGTCTAAGGGATCCTGTGTTCTCTTAGCACATTGACAGCTCTCTTCTGACCTTGGCTGTCCCCTACCATCCCTCAAATAGCATAAATGATGCTGTACTTCCTAATAAACACGCTTGGCTTACATCATCAGTTTATGCAAGAGCTGTTGTTTCTGTCTTCTTTGTTTCTCATCCTTAGTCCTCCCACTTAACTCCTCCCCATCCATGACCCTTATTCCTGCAGCTTCATGTCAGACAGGAGAGAGGAGGGTGCAGGAAAGGCTATGACAGCAGCAGGCACATGAAGCACACAGGTGAATCCAGCAACCTCCCATCCCAGAGCTGGCCTGCAGACTCTCCAAGCAGGGCTGGAGCCTGGGCGCTGGCTCTCAGGACAGGTCCCCATGTCTGACACAGTATGCCTTAGTGCAGTTAGGCCAGCACTTATCTTTCCCACACCTCAAACGTTTCGGTGGCATCTGTCGGTCCCACTACTCACTTGTTCCTCCACTTGGCTATCTGGTGTGTGTCCCTGGCCAAGGCTCCTCAGCTAGAAATCATGCTCTTTAAAAGTGGTAGAGTCTGGCTTCTCCAGGATGCCAGGCATGAGAGGCTGCGCAGATGTTCATCCTCTGAAACCTGATAGTGGAGGTTGAGCAATGTTCAGCTCATTTCCTGTTGTAAAGTCTCTGCAGATGCCTGGGCTGAAGGAGGAGTCAGGCTTGAGAGCTTCTTCCAGGCCTGCAGAAGCCCCACCTCCTGATCCTCACTTCCCTCATCTACTGAAGCGGGGACTCCCCGGGTTTGCCAACAGGCCCCAGTTCAGCAAAAGCTCCCAATCTCCCAGATTTGTGCTCTGGATCTCTGTACTTCCTCTCCTCCCTGCAGCCTGTCCAGTTCACAAGCTCTTCATTTTAGGAAGTTGCTGGCAGGCCCCAAACCCTGGGCTTTTTTCACTCCTGGACTCTCCTAAATCTCAAATCTGGCATTTGACTCCTCCTAACATCTTTTTTTTTTGTCTGTAGGTGTGTGGAGTCTGTGCATGTTCTTATGCATGTGAAGTCATATGTATGTGCATGTGTGTGACATGAGAACGTATGAATATGGTTAGTCTAGCTACTTAGACAGCTGGAACACTTCCTGTTTCCTCCTCCTGAGCTCTGGGATCACAAGCCTGTAGCCACGCCCAGCAGGCATCTGTGAGGATGCTGTGGGTCAGAGCTCAGGTCCTCATGCTTGCATAGCGACTGCTTTACCCACTGAGCCATTGCTGCAGCCTGACACTGGCTTGTAAACAGATCTGTAATCTGATCCTTCTCACTGTGCCCAAGGAGACTGCTGGTCCAGCCAGCATCCTGGGTGTGTGCTTCAGCTTCCTACCTCTCTCTTCCTGCTGATGCTTCATGGTCTATTCTCAGTCTTGAAGCCAGAGTCACAACCTAATATGTAAATTACCTCCTTACCTCTCTCTTGCAATCCTCCCTGTCTTGCTCTGAAAAAAACCCAGGTTCTTTTCCCTGGGTCTCAAGGCTCTGCATGGCCTGACCCATCCCACCCTGCCCTATTTCTGTCATAGGATCCCACTTCTGGCTCCTCATTCACTCTGTTGTGGGCTGTCTGTTCTACCTTCCTACTGCTCAGCTTTCCTTGAACACACCAGGAACCTGCTCACCTCGGAACCTTTGCACTGGCTTCACCCTTCTCTTGGGATGACTTTCTCCTAGGCAGAAGCTCGCTACCTGCTCTCTGAAGCAGCACTGCAGTCCCAGAATTTACCCTCCTTTATGCTTCTGTTTGTCACCTGTTGCCACCTAACGGCACAAACTTGATTTCATTTGGTAATTGAATGGAAACTCTTGGAGACAGGACTTAGCTTGTTTGTTGACTGGTACGCCCCTTGGGCCCAGGCTAGTGCCTAACTGACAATATCAGCACAGAGAGGCTCACAGTCTCTAAGAAGTGATTAGTCCTTTAATATTAACATATGTGTGTGTGTGTGTGTGTGTGTGTGTGTGTGTGCGTGTGTACATGCACACACACCATTAATCACATGTGCTAGTCATAAACCATTCAGGAGTCAGTTCTTGCCTGCCACCATGTACAACCCTGTGATCCAATTCCGGACCTAAGGCTTGGTGGCAGCTGCCTGCTGTGTGAAGGTCTTCCTGGGAAAACCTGACTGATACAGGAGGGCCATGCCCACTGTGGGGTGCCACTGATTGGCAGACAGTCCTGGGTTGTATAAGAAAGCAGGCCTAGCAAGCCCTGGATAGCAAGCCAGTAAGCAGCACTTCTCTGTGGTCTCTGCTGCAGTGTTCTGCAAATGTTTTTCTTATGCACTGTAGTTTGATCATTCAGACCACTTCAACTCCCAACCACAAATATTAAGAATTCTTCTTTCTCCATA